CTTTACCTGGGCTCACAACACCAAGAGCAGCCTGAGTGTGGATGAGTACTACGATGAGGATGGGACACTGCTGACACAGGACAAGAGTGCTCGTGTCTGGTAAGAACACATGGCAGGGCCCCAGCAAGGATTTGAGACAATATTTGGATGTGGGAAATGAAACCCAGGGGAAAGGAAAGAGGTAAAACAGCTGCAAGGAGGCGACAGGAGACAGCTCAGCTGAGATCCTGTCTACAGGATCTGCTCTTGATAAACTCAAGAGTTCCCTCTTTCTAGAGCTCACAAAGGAAGAATGATAACCCAGTCCAGCTGCAGAAACTCCACTTGTTTCTCCACACACAACTCTGCTCTTCTCAATATGAACTGAACTCCTTCAAGGGAGCATTAACCGGCTGTGGTTTGGCAAAAGCTTTACCCTGCACCTCAGGGCTCAGTCCCTGGATATAATCTCATGCTGTTGCCTCTTGCAGGACCTTCCACGTTTGGAATGAATGCTGGATGGCTCGCTCAGACTTGCTGCCAGAGTACAGTGGGTGGCAGGCACTGGATGCCACCTGCCAGGAAAAAAGCAAGGGTAAGATATCAGAGCAAGGGTAAGATATCAGAGATGGGCTTGAGCAAGAGCAGGGGGAAAGTGAAGCAGGGGCAAATAAAGCCATTCAATATTCCTCCTTTCCCATCTTTCAGTGGAAAGATGCAAAAAGACAGGAACTCACTCACCCTCTTGACTTTAGGCACAAAACTATCATTTATCTGTTTGGTTTGTGCAGCTCATGTAGCTCTAACACTGCTTCCAAATGGTCTCCTAAACTAGATATTTCACCAGTATAGGTCAAAACTAGGGATGGGTTTAGTTGGGAAAGCATCTGAATCTTAACTGGACCACATTTTCTCTTCAGGTGTATCCTTCTGTGGGCCAGCCCCTGTTCGTGCCATCAAGGAAGGTGACACACAGGTTGATTATGATGTCTGCTACTTCTTTGCTGCCATCAATGCCCAGTGTCATGTGTGGATACATAAAGCAGATGACACCCTCAAGCCAGCTTTTGGTGGCACAAAATACACTGGAAACAACATCAGCACCAAGAGTGTGGGCAGTGAGCGCTGTGAGGACATCACACAAAACTACAAATATCCTGAAGGTATGGGCAGGCACAGGCTGAGCACATTCCTTGTCACTATTACAAGCCAGGAGTAAAAGACCAGAGCAGAGCCAAACCAGAGCACCAGGGTCAGCCACTTCTCACTACTTCCCCTTCTTCAGTGGCACTAGAACACCTCATTCTCTCTGTCTACAGAGCCAAAGCAGAGGCCATCACCCAAACTTCACCCTGCTTAATGGCATTAAGGTCTGTGGAAGACCAGGTGTTTGTACACCAAGCACTTTCATGTCTGGAATTCCTTTTCTGATTTCTGTCTTCTCTACACTCTGTACATCCACCTCCCATTACCTCTGTAATATTTATATGGATAGGCATATTTCAGAGTCCAGCTTTCTGAAAAGGGCTGTTGTGCTCTCAGATCCTGCCTAAATCTCTCCCTCAACAAGCAGCTCCCCTCCAGAATCTGAGTGGTTTCCCTGGCTCAACCATAACACCCCATCTTCACCTGTGGCTTGTTTCTCCATCGCTGCAGGAGACAACTGCACCTTCTGAACACATGAGAGCAGGAACTGTGCCTTAGCTACAGCAGAAAAAAGCAGCTGCCTCCTCTACTCTGAGAGATGCTAGCACCAAGGTGTTTTAAAAACTGTGACAGCTATTGCCAAGTAGAATCTGTCAGGCACATCCAGTGAATATCCTGACAGCTGAAGCTTTCAAACTGACCCAACCAGAAGCACAAAAGGATATCTCTCTATGCTCTTAGAAAAAGTATCTCCAGTACTACCAGGAGAAATCAGTGCCATTCTCCTGCTGCTTCTCACTAGTAAACAGGAAAGAGAACCAAAATATGTGCTTCCTTTTTTTGTGACAGGTTCTCTCCAGGAAAAAGAAGTCCTTGACAAAGCCTATAGAAACATGAAGGAACTTGAGACAACCAGCAGCATGAGCAGCACACAGTTTATCTTCTTTCCTACTGCTCTGGAAGAGCCAGTCAACCTTTTCATCCATTTCCAGTCAAGTTCTTTGCAACTGGGACAAGATATGACACTTTCCATTGAAGTGTTCAACCACACTGATAGAGAAAAGGATACTCATCTGGTAGTTGGGATCCAGGCTCTGCATTATAATGGTGTGCCCATTGCCCAGCTTTGGAAGGAAGAGTTTCATTTTAACCTCCACAGCAATTCAGGTAAGGACTCTCCTGGGTGCATGGCTAGAAAAGTCCTCTAGTGCTCTCATTTCAGAAAAGTTCCCCCAGCCCTAGGTTTACAAAAGGTTGGCTGAATAGTTGATTCTAGGTGATTACCCAGAGAGATGGTGGAGTCTCCCTAAAGGGAGATATTCCAGAATCAACTGGACACAATCCTGTGCCCTGGGGTGAGCCTGCTTGGGCAGGGAGGCTGCACCAGATAATCCACTATTGTCCATTCCAACCTCACCCATCCTGTGAAATAAAACACTTTGGCAACATCACCTTAGAGATTTTCAATCTGCAAATCCACTTGAGGTCACTTAAGCACTTAAATGCTGCAGGTTTTAGTACAATGTTGGGCACTGAACACTCCCAGGTGTCATGCAGGGACAGACCAGGCTGCACTCATCACCTCTTGCTTCACCCCTCTGTTCCAGTCAATAACTTGAAGGTGTCTGTGCCTTACACATGGTTTGGAAAAGAGCTGGGAGAGAACCACCTGCTCAGGCTGACTGCTGTGCTCAGAGACGAGGACTCCTCCTTCATGTACCTGGCACAGGAAGAAATCAGCATTTCTGATTCCCCTCTCACCATTGAGGTAAGATTGGGCTGTCATCCTGCCTCTGCAGTGGGAAGAAAACAGTTTTTGTAGTCATAAGCAGCAAAACAATTCTGCTGGGTTCAGGGGCTCTCTGAGAAAGCAGAGCAGAAGAAATTATAATAAATTAAATAAGCTGGACTTTGCCTCTTCTGGCAAATGGCACCTCAGGCACCAAAAAAAAAAAAAAACACTCATCTCCCTTTAATCATAGAAGAATATATCTTCTCTCAGTTTCAGCTCCTTTGCTTCTTTCAACAGTTCCCAGAAAACATGGTGCAGTATGAGCCAAGCACAGCAAGGATCAGCCTCCAGAACCCCCTCATGGAGCCCCTGGAGCAGTGTGTGATAGCAGTCACAGGGCGAGGGCTCATTTACAGACACAGGAATTACAGGTAAGTGCAAAGTGATGATCCAAGAACAGCAAATGGAAAAAAGAGACACAATACAAGCAAAGGAAAGGCTGTCCTCAAAAATAACCAGGCAACAACATGGCAGGAAAATATCACTATGGCATAAAAGGCCTATGCATCCCATCCTTTATTTACAGATAATACAGATGATTTTCACACTGAAAAGGAGAAAAGCCAGCTAAGAGAACTTTCAACAGATGTGTAATACCCAAGTTGAAGCCAATATGGCATTTGTGAAAGCTTCAACATCAAAGGCATAGACAGCAAAAGGAAAACCTCCTGCCAGCTAAAAGGATAACAGAGAAATGCTACAAGACTTAGTGAGAAATACACATGAAATAAGGCAAAGTTAGAGGTCACTGAAATGAGCTATGAAATTTAGAAACTATTTGCTGTTGAGAAATCAATTACTTCCTAGTGAGCAACTTGAACATCCCTAAGTGGAGTAAAACTGTACTGTTTATGACAGCTTTCCATCCATTACCCACTATAAACAATGAACACAGTGGTGTTTTCCCCTTCTCTACTGAAGAACCAGGCAGATGTTACTTAGCCAAGAGCCACCAAAGGGGCATGCTCCCCTTCACATGACAAACACCCCACACTTGTCTCAAGAAGCTGCATTAGGACAAAGTCCCCTTAGATGTCTCCATGGAAGGTTTCAATTCTCCCGTCCTATCTCCATCCCAAACTACTGTTAGATGACAATTTCACTGTAGTTGTTTGAGTCACTGCCAGCTTTCTTCTATTTCTTGTTTTTCCTTTCCTTCTTTTTGGCACCACAATCCTGTCCAGCTAATGCATATCCCAGACACAGGAAACTAAAACCACCAAGAGGGTGATTGCTGCATAATCCCTTCTCTCCTTTCAGGCTGGGCTCTGTGCAAGCTAAAAGCACTCAAGAGCTGGAAATCCCATTCACCCCCACCCGAGCAGGGCCCAGGAGACTCACTGCACGTCTTACCTGCCTCCAGCTCCACAACCTGAAGAGCTACAGAACAACCAACATTGCAGCTGCCTGAGGCCAGCTCAGAACAGGTCCTCACCAAAGAGTGGCTGTGATCTGTGCCCTGGTCACGGGCAAGCACAGATGTTAACAGTTTAATAAAAGCTATATTTAAAACCACGTCTGATTTCGTTTATTTGCACAAACTCAACTCTCTCCCATCTGCCACTATGTCTACTCTGCAGTTTTAGAAGTGAGCCTCACTGTGACAAAGATGGGCTGAATGCTGAAGCACACATTGTAGTTCTCACACCTGTGCTGAGCCCACCAGTGCTTAAGTCTTCTGCCCTACCTGTGACAAGTAAAGGGTATCCTGGAACTTTAAAGTGATGATAGATGTAGGAGATGTAGGATGTCTCAAGGGATATATATATATATATATAGATATATATATATATATACACACACACACACATACATATACACACACATACACACACATAGGGGGATATCTCTCCCTGTAGATCCTTGACATTGGTAAGGTAGTAAACAACATTTTCTGCTGCTTTCTGAGAAAATAAGAGAAAGCTCATTCACTGCTCTCTAAGACAGTGAACAGGAAATAGACAGGAAATAGCAGCAGTGCAGAACATTTTATAATTATTCACTGGGCTGCTTGCAAAAGAAGCAAGACCCTTTCATTCTGTATATATCCTTCATCCTCTGAAGACAGATAAAGCAACTAATGTAAATCTAGCAATATTTTATTTTTCTCTGAACCCCACAGTAGCTGTAATGTCCAAAGAATGGGGCATGTTCAGAAGCAGCACTGCATCATCCCAAGAATCCAAGCAAAATGACACCTTTGCCATGGCAAAGGGCAACTTCCTGGAGAGGTTCTTCCAAGTAGCAGTGAAGTTCTCTCCTCCATTGTTCTCATCATTTTCCAAACAGCCAAAGAACAGCAAAGTTCACTGGAAATGCAGATGCCAGAGCCAGTGGCAGCAGCATACGCAGGCACAGAAGAGTTAAAGCTGACCCTGTGTGAAGTTCTTGACTTTGTTCATGTTGTGATCTACTGCACCAGTTAGAAACTGCACCCAGCCTTCCTCTGATGGTGGACACACATGGCTTGTCCTGCAAAAGGGGAGGAAATTCATTAGGGAAGCCTCCTGGTGTGCTATGCATCCAGACAGCACAGGGGTACTGTGAAGCTCTGAATAACCAGCAGTAAAACAGGGCTGCTCCAGCCCCAGAGGGCTTTGAGCAAGAACCCACACTCATGTCTGCAGTCCCAAACCCAAAACAAGGAACCACTGTCATCCCTAGCACCTTTTTCTCACTCCCATCCCTTTGTGACCAGGTAACAACATCACTGCTCTGAAATGCCAGCATCTACTGTCCAGAAATGAGTCATCTTTGACACGAGGCAGAAAGGTATCAACCTTCATAGCAGAGAACACACACTTACAAAACTGTAGCTCATACTCACTTGGCAATCTCTAAGACTTTCGTTAATACTGAGGCCAGCTTAGCAGCCTAGAAAAAAACAAAAGGGAAATAAGGTGAGCCAAGTGAGAGGAAAAGGAGGGTCTGAACAGCACTGGAAAATAAAGAGGACTTTAGGGATGCACAAAAGCCTATTATGAATAAAACTGCCATGGATCCTGATGCAGAATGAAGTTATCCATCACTGCCATGCTGGAAGTGCCTTCCAACCTACTCCTGGCTGTGACAGGTTAAAAAAAAACCTGTCTGTTTTTTAAAACATACATTAAAATGCTTTTTTTTAAATAAGCCTATTAGAAATTAGTAACTGATATTAAAGTACAAAGCTGCAAGTGATTGACTTTAATACAATTTGATACAAAGTAATTATTTTTTTATTTAAAAAAAAATCAAGCCACTGGCCAAAGGCATGAAACCAAGATTAAGAATAAAACAAATCCCAGATTCGAGGAGATTTCTACTTGATTTATGATGCAAGGGATGTTTCAAAGCTCAGCCAGGTTGCCAGAGTGTTGCCTAGTCAAGTTTTCAGTGTTGCCAAAGATGCAGACTCCACTGCTTCTCCAAGCAGCTTGTTTCAGTGCTTAAATACACTCACTGTAAGAGCTTTTCAATTCATAGATAGCTCTATGAATTGAAAAGCTCTATTTCAATTCATAGACTTCACTACCCAAGGAAAGAAGTACATCTGCAGTACCTAGGCAGCATCAGACATCACTTTCCTGAGGTTCTATCACTGCAAATCTCAGTGGATTATAGCTCAGAGTTGAAGTTTTAAGTACCCTTAAGAGGTACAGACGCAGTATGTGTGTCCACCTGAAATTAAGTGTGCAAGAACAAAGGGCACTCTTCATCACTAAGAAATTATTACTGAGGCAGTCACTAGCACCCATCTCTCCCTGAAGTCACCTAGGCCTTCCAATCTGATTTCTTCCCATTCCCTGTGCAGATGCTCAGACACTGAGCTATCAGGACTGCAGATACTCACATTAAGTCGCACAGCCAGTGGGTTCACAGGTGGGTACATGCTCAGTGCCAGCTCATCAACACTGGAACAGAAAAGAGGGGAGCAAGGAAGGAATGTTCTGACAGCATAACTCACAGATTCTGGTCAAAGCCTGTCCCAATCCTGAATGCAGGTCAGGAACAACAGAGAGATGTCAGCTGTACCTATGGGATGCTGTGTGTCCCTGTCACCATGGAGATGTGGTCACAGCTGCATCCCCTGTGCTTCTCTCCTGACCTACACAACCCTCAACAGCTTAACAGCCTTCCCACTACATCTGTGTCCACCACCTGCTCACAGCTCCAGTATCACAGAGGTTCCTTCAACTCCTCACTCAAGACCTCAAAGAAAGACCAGTGTCACAGACATCTTTTATGAAAAATCCTTTCCTTAGGATTTTTCCTCCTGAGAAGCTGAGAGGCCTCAGGAACAAAATGTAAACATTGATTATCTGCTGCTGTGGAATGCAACAGGTGCATCTGTGATTGGCCCAAGTTGGATATTTCTAATTAATGGCCAATCACAGCCCAGCTGGTTCGGACAGAGAGCCCGAGACAGAGCCTTTGTTATCATTCATTCTTATTCTATTCTTAGCTGACCTTCTGATGAAATCCTTTCTTCTATTCTTTTAGTATAGTTTTAATATAATATATATCATAAAATAATAAATCAAGCCTGCTGAAACATGGAGTCAGATCCTCATCTCTTCCCTCATCCTAAGACCCCTGTGAACACCGTCATAGACCAGGACTGCTCTGGAGGGAAAAGCAGCATGGGGAGAAGCCTGCTTACCTTGGGCTGATCTCATTAGCAATGTCAGCAAGGTCATCCAGCTGTGCAATGTGCTCTGGAGAATCAGCTTTGCCATGGGCCTTCACTGCAGCCAAGACCTTCTTCAGGCAAGCTTTAGAAGCCTTCATGAGTCCCATGCAGGAGCTGAGCAGCCGCCTGTCAGCCTCTGACCAGTACGTGTCCCTGTTGCCCCGAAAGCCCAACTCTTCATCTTCCATGATGTCCCCATAGGGATCCTGCCCTTCCACCAGTGCCTGAGAACACAGAGGCACTGAAAACCCAGAGCCTGGCATCAATTCCAGTAACACCCAGGAGCAAAGGGAAAGCATAATCTAGACATTATAGAAATAATTAATGGAGAAATCTCAGTTGGTTAATGCTAAAACGACTGGATTAAGAAAAACCACCACTCTAACAGTGCAAACAGTAAGAACCTGGTGAATTCTTACACGATCCTAAATTGTCTCCCCCGTTCCCAATTCAGGACATACCTTTATGAAAATCTTATACAAAGTAAACCAGGCTTGAGAATAAAAACTCATTAAAATGCATAAAAAAATAATCTATGTCATGTAGGAGCAAATCTATAGTGTAGTCTGGATGTAAAATAATTACTGAGTTTCATCACTGAACCAGCCTAGAGGGTGGCTGGGCACTGGAACAGGCTCCCCAGAGAAGTGGTCACAGCCCCAAACCTGCCAGAGTTCAAGGAGCCTTTGGACAACTCTCAGGGACATGGTGAGATTGTCTGGGTTGTCCTGAGCAGGACCAGGAGCTGGACTTGATGACCCTTGTGCATCCCTTCCAATTCAGAATATTCTGAGTCTATGAATCCACTACTGCATGTCCCTCTAAGGCTTAGGGGCTTCCTTACCTGTTCCATCTCCTCCACAGCATCCTTGACCACACCTAGAGATGCAGCCAGAGCTGACACAACTGCTGCCTGGTTATCTGCAAAAGCAAAAGGATGAAAACTGTGGCATCCCACTGTTTCAAATCAGTTTGCAACAACCTCCATCTAGGCTTGCAATCACTGTAGGATCAAACTTCCTGCAGAGCTCAGAGCTGCACTGTTGTCAGACAAAGAATCTGACCTGACTTCCAAGCTTATACATTTCAAAACCAGTCAAGTTTTTGAGTTATTCTCCATTCAGCTTTTATTGTACCAGCTGGAATGCCCTTGCAAAAGCTATTGATATTCCAAGACTACATGCTGGAGCTGTTGCTCTGCATTTACAACACTCACCTCGTGGCAGGTTAGACACTTGCTCACAGGCCTCCCACACACCTCCAGTTGATATCAGCTGTTCCTGAGACAAGCTGAAACAAAACAAAACAAAACAAAACCCTCAAGGTCAGAGTCAATAACAACACTGTGCTAGACTGTGGTTTGTTTCATTTTCTGCAACACAGATGATAAACACCAGCAAAAGTTCTGCTGCAAAGATGTCACCAACCAGCTTGTCACTAGGAGGCCAAGTCTGTGTAAAGCCCTTACTGCCTCCTAACAAGTGTACTTGTAACTTTTTCTTGCCTTTTAATCACAATTATCACAAAAATATCACAAAATCACAGAACTATGCAATTGAAAATGACAACCTCTCCACTGGGGCATTCAGAATTGTGTCTGTGAGCTGGATCATCCCTTCCACTACTTCAGTGGTGGCATCTCGAACCATCTTCCGAAGGGTAGTACCTGGGTGAGACAGAGAAAGAGCAAGAAAGTTGGCACAAAGTCAGCACTGACAGAGAGCAAGTGCTTAAGATGAACACACAGACTGCTCCGTTTGTGTGGATACACTGTATAAATGAAGTTACAAGTATTTTGAAGAAAGGAAAATGCTTCCCAGTTCCAAAAGAACTCTGGACAAGGATTTCATTCTTTTCAATGCTCAATCAGCTACACAACTTCCTACATCATCACTCTCCCACAGATGGAAAACTGCAGCAGCAGACAGACAAGTACCTCACTCATAAACATGTTCAAAGTCTACAGAACAGCTGATAATGGGACACCATGCTAATAAAAACTTGCTGATACCAGACGTCATTAGGCTCTGAAACACTGGGTTTCTCTATATAGTGGTGCTGAAAGAACCCCCATCCCATACAATGGTGACTGCCTTGCTGTCACCAGCTCACCTTGGCCCTTGGGTAGCCAGTAGTACACTGTGGCAACTGCAAGAATGGCATTTTGGACATCCTCACTCAGCTTCCGGCAGTTCTGAAAACAGACAGGCAAAAGGATCACCCAGAGTAACACCCAGTTGCAGCACATGTAGACATCCTCACAAGCAATCACTGGCTTTGAGACTGCTCTGAGTAAACAAATACAGCACGAGAAAAAGGCACCATAAGCCAACTGTATGCATCTTAGCCTGCCTCATGATTTAGTAACAAAACACTCCCTGGTGTGGTAGGCATGCATCAGAAAAGAATTAGTAACTTAGATCATTATTCTGAACTTAAGGTCTTTTTTTGCCTCTCCTCTCAACACCTGTATGATAAACTTCTCTCAACTGATAGCAAAAATATTGCATATTCTTTGTTAAACCTAAGGTCTGTATTCTCCAATAATGTGTCTCTATCATCAATGAGCTGTGGCTGTGAAAGAATATAAGAACATTTTTATTTAGTGTATCTCCCTACCTTAGAGAAATTTGTTCTCTGGGCAGTTCTTGGATTATATTAATACACTCCACAGTACACAGCCCATTTAGTCAAATGAACCAAGAAATACCTCAAGCTTGCAAACACACTGCAATTTCATAGTCTGTCAAGGCTTTCTCTCACCTCTGCAGAAGGTAGTGGAGGCCTTGAGAATGCCAAACTCAGCTTTGTAGCTTCTTGTGATGTTACTTGGAATGTCTGACCTAAAAAAATATCCAACAAGAGCAAAAAAAGGGAAAGTAACTCAGGTAAAAGATAAAAGAACATAGCAGCAGCTCTGATTCGACTGCTTGTTTACCATTTCACCCAAGCAATACAAACATATAAACTAAACCCCATTATGAAGAAAAACTCCCTGCTGCATTCGTGCCATGCATTGCTTGTGTCCTGTCTGCTTTTTCTCACTTGGCTGGTAGTGAACCCCAGTCTGCATCCTGGTTCATGACCTGTTCAGCAGGATGTGCCAAGAAGCTTTAACAGAGACCTTTAGAAACCTTATGTGAACGGTTCAATATCTGCTTTGCTCTGCCACACCTTGGAGCGTTTGGTGACCACAGTTAGGGAGGTCAGGCACTGGAACGGGCTGGCCTGGGGGTATGGAGGAATCACTGGGGATGTTTAGGATGATCCGAGAGGCTGGATCTGACACTGACGTGGTTTATGGTTTACAGCTGGGTAAACGGTGAGCGGCTGGACTTGATGATCTTAAAGATCCCTCTCTTCCAACCCTGCCCATTCCGTGACTCCGTGAGTGGAGGGCGCACCCCACACCTGGAGACCCGCGGGGAGGGCAGCCCTGCCCCGGACCGGCCCCGCGGGTACCCGGCCCCCCCGAATCGCGGCCCGGCCCGGCCCGCCCGTACCTAGCGCGTCCCAGAAGCGCGGCAGCTCGAACGGCTCTCGGCCCTCGCTCGGCTCTCCCTCTGCAACGGCACAGACACAGCTCAGCCCGCGGGGAGCCGGCCCGGCTCGGCCTGGCTCAACCCGGCTCGGCCCGACCCCCGCCCGGCCCCGCTCCCGGCCCCGGCCCGCACCTCGCAGCCGCGCCAGCACCGCCCGCAGCGCCCCGCGCACGTCCCGCAGCGGCTCCCGCGCCTCCATCGCTGCGGGGCGGCCCCGGAGCGCCACAGAGGCGCGTCACGTCCGCTCCGGGAGCGGCCCCGCCCCATAGAGACAGCCCCGCCCCATAGAGACAGCCCCGCCCCATAGAGATAGCCCCGCCCCATGGAGACAGACCCGCCCCATAGAGACAGCCTCGCCCCACAGACAAGCCATAGAGACAGCCCTACCCTATAGAGACAGCCCCATAGAGACAGCCCAGCCCCACAGACAACCCATAGAGACAGCCCTTAGAGACAGCCCTACCCTATAGAGACAGCCTCATAGAGACAGCCCAGCCCCACAGACAACCCATAGAGACAACCCATAGAGACAGCCCTATCCTTTAGAGACAACCCCACAGAGACACCCCCACCCCATAGAGACAGCCCTACCCTATAGAGACAGCTCCACCCCACAGAGACTGCCCAGCCGGGTTCACTTTATTAGTGACACACTTTATTAGTTAAGAACAAGCAAAGGGGGAAAGCAGTGGGGCTGTGCCCCTGTGTGTGTGTGTCTGCGGGAAAGAGCGAAGCTCACACTCTATATCAGCTGGCGCAGCTCCTCGAAGTTGAGCATGTTGTTGGCCACGTCGGACCAGGCCGCGTGGGTTGCCCCGTCCATCTCCGGGGCCAGGCGGTTGCTGCTCTCCAGGGTGTGGTTGGTGCCACCGATGACTTCGTGGCACTCAGGGCACGTACTCTTCTCCATTGCCCCACCACACTCCCCAATTACGTAGATGTGCCCATTTTTGCACTTGAACCAGTGGCCACGGGGACAGCCAATAGCACTGACAATCTGCACCCGCTCAGCTTCAGAAATCCCCAGCCCTGACATGGGCAAGCTAGCATTGATCTTCTTCAGGTGAGCCTTCACTGCAACCTCATCCTCCTCTGTGAATTTCTTTGTCCCTTCCAGGATCTCCCGTGCACTGTTAATCTCTGCTGCGATGTCTGCGGGTATCACCCTACTTGGTGCTTTGCACCTTTCCAAGAGGCTCAGCAAGTAAGTCAGCCTCTGGATCTCAGACTGCAGGTCAGTGAGCTCCTGGTCTGTAAAACTGATGCGTGGCTTATCCAACCACTTCTGCACTTCATCCAGCCTCTTTATCAGCCCTGTCTTTTCATTCTCATTGATTTTGTTCAGAGAATTAGTTAGGTCTGCTACACGTTTGTAAAAATTAAGCAAGTTCTCAATTAGTCCGATACTCTTTGTGGAGAGAGGTGAAGCTTTTAGTCTGTTTTCCAGCATGGCATACTTAGAGTATAGATTAGGTCTCAGTAAAAGATTCTGCATCAGCACAGCCTGCAGCCTCTGTCTGTTAGACTCGATTTCCTCTGCCGGGCCTTGGATTTTCTGTTTCACCCGTTCTATCTCCTCCACCTGCCTTTTCACACTGCTGCCATATCTCAGATTCTTTCTGATGGGTGTCTGACACAGAGGGCATACCTTCAGCTTGACAACATCATCATCTTCATCCATATAGTGGTCAAGGCCTTGCGACTCAAAGACATGGCCACAGTCTTCAAGCTGTACAAATCGAGCATCTGGGTCATCCTCAGAGCCAAAGAAGATCTGAGTGAGTTCCTCATGGTCACAAACAAGGCACTTCTTTGGGCAGGGCTCTCCACACAATCCAACACAGGGATGACCACAGGGCAGCATCTTAGCACAGGGAACATTGCAGCGAGGCCTGTTGCACGGCTCAGAGCAAAGCTTGGTACACTGGTAGTGCTGGCACTGCCACTCACACGGCTCAGCACAAGGAACACAGCTTTCCCAACATTTCTTTTTGCACTTACTGTGAATACAGTAGTTCTGACATTCCTTCTGACAAGGAGGACATTCTGTAGTACAAGGCTCTTGACACTTGTGGGAACAGATCAAGACACGCTTGCATGGGCTGTCACATGCCTTATGAAATCTTCCTTCAAAGCAAGTATGACAGGAACCTGAACATACATGACCACATGCCAGTGTGACAGAACACTTACTCTCACATTTCACAAGCTCCTCATGCCTCATCCTGGTCATCCAGCAAGCAACTTTCTGCTCGTGGCCACATTTCAGTGTGGCTGTAACCTGTTGAGGACACTTCATTGTGCATTGCTGCCCACAGGTACGCATGCATGTGTGTCCACAGTTTAACTTCTTCCGGCAAGGTTCTAGGCACTCGAATTTCCATTCTGGAATATGACATGGCACCATCTGTACGTGGCCACACTTAGAAATAGTTTTCTTTACCTTCACCATACATTTTCCACAGGGCTCATAACATGACTTTGGGCAGCGGTGCCCATCTTCACAAAGTACCTTTTGACAAGGCTTCAAGCACTGGTACTCTTTGTGCTCAGGGTCGTATGGGTGACATGCCCTTGTGCAAGCATGGCCACAATTCAACCTAAACTCACAGGGACGAGTACAGCCTCCCTCTGGGACACTATTGAAGTCTTCACCTGTAGATACCTTTGTCTTGGTTCCAGGGTGGTTTTGACAGCAAAGCTCCAATGACTGGCCAATGTGACCATTCTTACTAAGGGTTACAATGATCTTGTTCCAGAGAGGAACCTTGCCAAGCATTCTCATGTTTCCAATACAATAGAGGCCTTTCTTAGCTCTGGATAATGCCACACATATCCGATTAGGGATCTGCAAGAACCCAGGTCTCCCCTCTTTGTTGCTCCTCACCAATGACAGCAGAATAATATCATTCTCCTCTCCCTGGTACTTATCCACCACATGAACCTTCACACCTTCAAAGATCTTTGCTGGCATGAGCCTACGCAGACAGAAGAGCTGTCCAGTGTAAGTAGTGAGAATGGTGATCTGAGAAGGTTCATAGCCCTGACACAAGAAATATTTGCACAGTTCCACTACAAAGTGGGCCTCATGTGGGTTCTGGTGGCTTTTCCCTTCCTGGATCTCTTGTTCAGGAACCTCATGTTCCACAAAGAAGATATTAGTTGAGACACCCTGAAACAAAAGGAAGGATGTCAGAGAGAGAATTCTAGTTTCTGTCACCCCAGAGTGTTTCCATGCTCCTGATTATCCACATCCAGGAGGACTTTTAAGGAGTTGACTACAGTATGCAGTTACTGTGTACTTAAGTGATTTCCTCTTAGATTTCCATAGGTTATTAATCAAATTCCCATTTCAGCTTACTGGTAATATTTTAGTATCCTAATATGAAATCAGTTTCTGATTTTATTCCCTTTCTTTCCAGAGATGTTTTTACTGTACATTTCTAGGTTATACCAAAGAAAACATGAAGTGTTAGTAACTTCTCAAAGCATACTCATGATATGAACAATGTCCTGTTTTGGCCCTGTAGGAGAAAGATCCTAAGTTACCAGTGCACAGGGCTGAGCACTTGCCTAAAACATACTTCCTCTGTTGTTGCAATAAAAACAAAGCAGCAAGGAAAATTTCTTCTTCAACAGAAAACACTAGGAATGCTAGGACTCCAGAAGTCACTTACCATCTCATGGTGTGCAGAGTGGACTGCTCACCTGTTCAAAAACTCTATTTGCCTTGAGTTAGCAGGGGCTTTTACTTTTTTACCTATTAACTGGAATTATTCTACCCGTAAGAAATTATTGCTCTGCCTGCCAAAACCCAGAGACTGATTTTAACAGGAAAGAACAGCTTTTGTAGATCAAACACAGATCTCTGGTTGTCCAAGGTAAGATTACAGAGAGATGACTGTTAATAGTTCAAAGATGCAAGAAAAGCACCAACCTAGAGATACATGAAGCCCTGGTTAGGGCTTCCTCATTTGTATTTCCTCATTTCATTACGGAAATTTAAATCAGAAAATGGGGAGTGAGTGTTAAGATGGATGCTCAGTATCATTAAGGAAGAAGCAAAGACTGACACTTCTGACTGATACCCAAGGCAAGCATTCTAATAACTTACTAAATTCTGGCTGTTTATTGAGCATGTTAGATAATAAATGATGACTTTATACTTGTAAGCTGCATAGATCTTCTTTACAATGTTGTGCATTGGTAGAATGCCCAAATGGAGAGACTAAGGAAAGAGTTCCAGTAATCCTGTCACCTATTTTATGTTGGAATTTCAATATTATCCTCTAAGTCTTTCATTTAAGATTTCTTCCTAGCTTTCAAACTCCTACAATTTGTTTGTTCCCCCTTCCATTTTTACTGTTCTTTTAAAGTCATTGGTATTGGATCTATTTCCATTGTCCACCATCACTAATGCCAGAAGAAATACAAATTACTTATGTAATTCTATATTGCACAATTCCTTGATTCAGGTATAAATTTCAATAAGTGAATTTGACCTAAGAATTTGAAATCCTTGAACACTGTAGTTTACAGAAACTCATTTAGCCAGTAACAGGGGACAAAAGCAACCCCCTGGACTGCTGAAAACTCACTTTTATATTCTCATATTCCAGGACAGAGGGATGGTTCTCCAGGTTCTGGTATATATGAGGACTGATAAGCTGGGCAATTTCAGGGCGCATGCAGTGCTGAAACACAAAACAATTTTATCAGTCTTGTGAAAGGAGAACCATATTTCCCTGTCAATATTCTTTTCCTCCACTGTACAGACAGTGGCTGAATAGAAGACAAGGATGACTTTTCAATCAGAGACAAGAAGGGAGCACTTCCCAATCCCTGCTCTCCCTCACCCCATTGCTGACACCACCAACAACTGCAGGAGTGAGAGTAGCAGAGCATCTTCAAGAAAATCTCTTGATAAGGCTGTTGCACAGTAATGCCGGCTTCAGTGCAAATCTAGGCACACTTATAGATAACAAAAGCCAGCACCTCACCCTAACTACTAAATGAGCTCTTTCAAGTACCTTTAACACAGGACTGGTGGTGGTAGAATTAACTTCCCCAGGCACCAAGACAGATTATTATAGCAATTTAGCAGGAAGCATCCTGAGAAGAATTGTGCTGTCTCACTCTGCAAAGCTGTGGAAGTTTCAGTTGCCACAATAAACCATGTCCTTCACAGAAAAACATGAGAACCACAGTGCTGTG